TGTTTCAACTTTATTAAAAGAAGTTTTAAGATCATCAATTTTCTTTTGATGATCATCATTGACCTTTGAAAGTAAATTTTGCAAATCTAAATTTTTCTTTTCAAACTCTTTTAGTTTGATTTGCAAATCACTAATATTACTTTCAAAATCATTGTTGGTTTTGGATATGAGCTTATTTTCATTTTTCAATTTTGAAACATCATTTTCATATTTTAAAAAACAATTTCTCATAATCCGAAGCCAACCCATTATATTCCTCTAATAACTCACCATAAGATAAATCATCTAATTCAATTGAGTTATAGGTTACCTTAGAATCTTCCCCGAATGCCATCAAGCACAAGTTTGCTACTTCTTGTTCCTCTTCATCGGAACCTTCTTCATTGCTCTATGTAGCCACATGAGCCTTGTGCTTATTCTTTGATTGACCCTTTCTCTTCAATTATGGGTAATCATATTTGACACGCCCTGACTTTTTGCATTTATAGCAAATGATAGTGTCCTTCTCTTTTGGTTTATTTTTGAGGCCTTCATTTCGTTTGAATTTTCTTCCTTGGCAAGGTCTCATTATTTTTCTGAACCGTTTGGTAAACAATGTCATTTCCTCATCATCGTCATCTTCATCCGAATCACTCTCATCTTTTGTGGATTTGAGAGCAACTCCAATGTTTTTCTTCTTCTCCTTCTTCTTTGTTGTCTCGTCAATCTTATCGAGGTCCACCTCATCTTCAAGCATCATTTCATGAGTGAGGAGGAAACCAATTAGCTCTTCAAGAGTTAAGGACTTTAAGTTCTTAGCCTCGATGATTGCCGTCTTCTTGGATTGCCACGATTTTAGAAGTGAGTAAACTAACTTCCTCACAAGCTTTTCGTTTGGAATGATCTCTCCATATGATTTGAGACCATTGACAATCGTTGAGAATCTATCCGTCATAGCTTTGATATCTTCATTTGGTTTCATCCTGAAATTTTCATAGCTATGTGTTAGAAGACTAATTTTAGATTCTTTTACCTCGTCGGTGCCTTCACGAGTGACTTGAAGTTTATCCCATATTTCTTTGGCGGTTTTACAAGATGAAACTCTTCCATATTCATCTGGTTCAAGAGCACAAAATATGATATGGATTTCTTTGGAGTTGAGCTGGAACATTATTTCCTCCCCTTTACTCCACAATCTTGGATGAATGAGAGGCTTTGTATCCGTCTTCTACAAGATTTCATGCTCCCATGTCACTTTCTTGAATGAAATACATCATCCTATTCTTTAAATAGGCATAGTTAGCTCCATTGAAGAAATGAGGCTTGTTGACGGGCATCGAATCGAGATCGGAGTCGACATTTGAAGTAGAGGCCATTGATGACTTGATAATCAATGTAACTCTTCCCGAATCGACTCAAGAGGCAATTAAACCTTCAAATGAGTGAGGCACTGATACCAATTGTTGAGTTAATCGATCAATGAAATTGGCCAAGAGGGGGTGAATTGAGAATTAAAATTTTGGTGGAAGCTTTTGCAGAAAATTGAAAAGATTTGCACAACGATTTAGAGTGGTTCGACTTTCTCAACCAAAGTCTACGTCCACTACCTTAGTTATCCACACTAAGGATTTTCTAACGAATTCACTAATTTGTTCTTTCTTTTGAGGCCAAAGAGATAACCTTACAACTCCCTCAATAATATACCCCAATTCTTGAGAACACTCTTTCTCAAAGAGAAGATTACAAATTTGCAAACTTACAAGGAAATCCTCACAAGGTAGATTGTTTACACAATTCTAGAACAAAGAAAAGAACACTAAAAATGAATACAATTGATTAGAAGTAGTTTTCTTGAAAACAAAATGAATATTGAATGAAAAATAGGCTTGAAATGCTCAAACTTGAGGTTTGATGCTTTCTCTTTGATTCTCTCTTGATTCTTGTGTTTTCTTTTTGTTAATCAATGACTTCTTAGCTTGTTTAAATACTCCTTCAAATGATTCTGAATGTTGGGGATGATTAGTGGAGTCAATAGAGTCGTTTAAGTGTGAAAACAATTAATTAAATCAGTTGGGAGCGTCAGTGAATCGATGCATACCCAAGGTGCATTGATGCATACCCAAGGTGCATCAAGTGTAAAATTCAAATATTTTTACCGTTAGACCCTTAGTGCATCGGTGCACTAAGAGTGCATCGATGCATAAAATGCATTCAATGTTTCAAAATAGCCTGAGTGCATCGATGCATGGTTGGTGCATCGATGCATAAAATGCATTCGATGTTTTCATAAAAGTCTGAGTGCATCGATGCATAGTATGTGCATCAATGCATGAAATGTATTCGATGTTTAATTTATTCCATGGTGCATTGATGCATGGATTGGTGCATCGGTGCATCACTTTGAAAAATTGATTTTAGGCTTGATTTTAGTTCAAAATACTTTGTGAATTTTTTTTTAAAATATATTAAGTATAAAACACAATTTTACACATATAGTAAGGTTTGAAATTGATCTTGAGTAATAATTTTTTGAGTAATTAAATCGAATATACTTAGAAAATCATTTGTAAAATCTTAAAATTCATTTATACTTAATTTGTTATATCGAAACATCAAAATGTTTTCAACATATTTATATTTATACCGCAAAAATCCACATAGAACAAATAGCATTCACATCCGATGGCCTAGGCACTAATTACAAAGTCTTATTTTCAATTAAAGCATTAAATTCATCCAACATTGCACAATTCAAATTTGGATCACGGAGCACACTAATGGGATTTTTAGGAATAGGGTAAATAGCCTTAGTGGTGGTCGTGTGACAATTTGTAGAGTACTTAGGATTTGGCTTAAAAATGCCATTGATAGCACAACTTGTCATGCGGTGGAGCATGGGGTTATTAGGCCTAGAAGAGGAGTGTGGTGCTGACATGGATGTAGGTGACGAATTTGGGCCAGGGATTGGGCCACGTGCGGTGGGCGAGTCCAAGATAGGAGAAGAAGCTGGAGAGGGCTACTATAGTGTCTGGGCTACATGAGGAGTGGGCCGAGACTGAGCATCAGAAGAAGTGGGGGTGGCTGGGCCCGTGTGAAACCGCGACCCAGTGTGAGGAATAGGTGGAGAGTTGGGCCGTTGGGTTGGGTGAGGCAGTGGATTTTATGGTGCTAAATTCTGAGAAATAACATTCATGATTGATGGATCAATATTATCACTCAGAAAATCATAATTTGTAAGAGTGGTTTTGTGGAGTTTCGAAAATGGAAATTTGGTTTCAACAAAACTCACATGACGAGAAATTATTATTTTTCCACTAGACATATCATAGCATTTTGAGCCACGATGGTTTAGAGCCAGACCAAGATAGGCACAAGGGGAACATCGTTCATGCAATTTGTTTATAGTAGTTGAGGGAAACAATGGAAAACATAAACAACTAAAAAACACCCAAATCTGAATATGAAGGGTCACTTTGATAAAGGATTTGTGTGGGTGACAAATAATCTAAAACCTTAGAAGGAAGGATATTTAGAAGATATATTTCCATAGATAGAGTATGATGCCGAAAGAACTGTGGCATAGAAGCATGAGCTAGAATGGTCTGAATGATATTATTTATGGATTTTATATGTCTTTCGGCTTTACCATTTTGGAACGATGTGTGAGGACAATAAAGACAAAAGATTAAGCCATGACGATCAAACAATTGCTCAAGAGTGCCATTAATATATTACGTGCCATTGTCACATTGAAAAGACTTTATATTACGTTCAAATTGAGTTTTGAAAAAAGCATAGAAAGACATGAATAACTGTTTGACCTGTGATTTCTTTGCAATAGGAAAAGTCCAAAGAAATTTGCTATAGTCATCAAGAAAAAGAACATAATAATGGTGCCCGGAATAACTAGCAATTGGAGAAGTCCAAAGATTACTATGAATAATATCAAACGATAGAAAAGTGTATGGTAAAGAATCATAAAAAGGAAGTTTAGCATGTTTCCCAAGAGGACAAGATGAGCAAAAAGTCTTACAAGCCTTATTAGATTCAATAAATTTATTACTACGAATAGAATTGATAATAGTATCGCCAGGATGACCTAAATGATTATGCCAAATATCATGAGACATAGTAGTAAAAGCTGAATGTTTGGGTGATGTGGCTTGTGAATTTGAAAAGAGTGGATATAAGTTCCCAATACTGTTACATCTCATAAGTCTGGTCCCCGTCTATGAATCATTGACCGAAAAACCAAAAGGGTCAAAAGAAATAGAAACCATATTGTCAGTGGTAAATTTACGAATAGAGATCAGACTTTTAATAAGTTTGGGAGCACGCAACACATTTTGAAGAACAAAAGGAGGATGAGGTGGGGGTAAATTAGTGCTACCGTGACCGACAACCGGAATTAACTGACCACTACTAACAACAATGTTATGATTTTTAGTGCTTGAATTGAAATAATACGAGAGAATACCTGCATCCGCTGTCATGTGAGATGTCGCGTCGGTATCCATTTAGTAGTTTTCATCGGGTTGAGAGAAATATAGAGCATGCATGGCGGCCTCAATATCAATTGGCGTGTAACTAGAAATAGACGGAGCCGAAGATGGAGTCATAACATTGAAGGCTTGAGGTATGGGCCCAAGCACTCCAGGCCTAGCAGATGGTCTTTGAGACGTGTAATTGAGTTGTGGCTGCCAAGAATAGGCAGGGAAGGGACAAGGTGGAATTTTTCACCCTCCCCAACTTGGCTACCACTGTGGCCATTGTGACAGAGCTTGAGGACGTGGCTGCTGATAGGACTGACCACCACTGGCCCCACCTTGCTGACCGGATCCCTTCCCTTTCCCGTTAATTTGTTGTTGTTACGCCCTTTGTTGTTACTGTTGTTGCGTTTAAGAGGAGATGAGGAGTCATTGAAGACATTGCTAGTTGTTGCAATCATGGTTGTACCACCACGGGTCCCAAATTCATGTGTGACATGTGCTTTGATGATGCGTTCTGCCATTTTTCAATCTTCATCGACAGCTTTCGAACGAAGGTAGGGGCTCTTGATTTTGGATGAAATCAACCGTACCATTGTACGCCTCTGGAAAGGAACCTGTGAGACGTAACACGAGCCGCCCATTTGACACCGGGGCATCAACATCCACAAGCCGATCTGCAAGAGATTGAAGGTAATTGCAGTAATTGTCGATGGTATGTTGTTCCTCGAAAACGGCATTGGTGAAGTCTTCTTCGAGGTGGGTTACTCGTGAAGCTTTATTGTCCTGAAATAAAGCTTCGAGCCGTTTCCATGCTCCCTCGGCTGTGTCATCACATCGTAGAATAGCAAGGAGAAGGTCAGAGGAAATGGTGCCATATATCCACTGGAGAATTGCAGCGTCAAGACGTTTCCACATGGCAGGATCGATTGATTTTTTGCAGCAAGGTATGCTGCTCTGGCAGGTTCTTCTGTGTGTGGGACAATATGATCGTAAAGATCGTGAACCCGAGTAAGGTTGGTAAACAAGGCAGCCCATGAGTGATACAGAGCCTGCTCGTTATCTAATGTGACAAGAACAAGAGATTTCACATTTGTGATAGTGAGGACAGGGTGAAATTTGGTGCTTTCGGCCATGTTTGAAAGTGAGAAGAAGAATGAGGGAAGAAGAAGAAGATGAACGGCTAGGGTTCAAGAGATAGGATCGAAACAACCTCTGATACCATGAAGGAAATATGCTAACTGATAACTGAAACTATGGTAACAAATATTGACTAGCTAAATAAAGATATATACAAATAATAAGAGAATATATGCTGAATATATTCTAACATGCTTAAATGATGTTTAATTAAAAAAATAAATTCCATGCAATAGTTCTAATTTTAGTGTTTGGTCATTTTGATGATTAATATAACGCTTTTTCGCTCAACTCGATTTGAAAGGACTCAAAACGCAAACTCTTGATTACGTGGAGTGTTATATGTTAACAAAAGATCATAGCGAGTAAAAAGTTGGGGGTTAGGAATCAATTGCAAGCCATTGAAGCAACTCTTGAAAGATGATAAGTTCATGTTACCAAATAGAAATGATCTCTTTGGAAATCTATCAATGGAAAGTTTGGTCTCAAATGAGGGTTAGGGAGTTAAGTGTAAATAGAATGGTACAAGACTGTTCGAATCTACAGATCTAACTAATATAAAAGAATTATAGAAACATAACAAGGAAGAGGAGTAAAGAAAGAATCAATATCAGAAAGCATTTACAGAGAGTAAACTTCATTCTATTATTGAAGATAAACCGAAAACGTCATTAGCCCAATGCACAAGACCCTCTTATATAAAGAGGTCCATACAACTAGGCTTATACTCATTCTTCCGATTTTCTCTTCTTCTCAAACTTCTTCAATTGACAAAACCCCAAGTCTTCTTCTCATAGTATCAAACATTGAGGGAGGAATAAGCTGGATGAGTATATCAGCAACCTGCTTAACAGCAAGAACAAAATTGACAATAAATTGATCTGCCAGCACTTTCTCTCTAACAAAGTCAATATCCACATTCTTGATTTTAGCATGGTGTAACCGAAAGTTGTTGAGTCGGTTGTAACTAAGTTGGGCCCAGTTGTATGGACCTCTTTATAAAAGAGGGTCTTTTATATTGGGCTAATGACGGTTTTTGGTCTATCTTCAATAATAGAATGAAGTTTACTCTCTCTAAATGCTTTCTGATATTGATTCTTTCTTTTCTTCGCTTCCTTGTTATGTTCATATAATTCTCTTATATTAGTTAGGTATGTAGATTCGAACATGATATTAGAGCTTTTTTCAACGAGTTTTTCGGCGAAACGATAATTGGTAGTTCAGTTGAAAGCTGCTGCTTCCAAAGTTGTTGCTGCATTCGTCAGATGTGCTTTCAAAGTGTCGATTGTTCTTTAATTATTTCTGATTGTTGTTTGATCTGAGAAATTCGGTGTTTCTCATCCGCGTCTTGTTCCTCTGCAGTTCTTAATTTCTTCATTTTGGTGAAACCGTTCCTCTGTTGATTCTTTTTCGCTTATTTGGGTCTTCTCCTATGTGGTTATGAATTTCGTTGTTTGATTAAATGAGGATTTTCTCAGTTATTGCATTTGATCTGGTTCCTCTGTGATATTTTGCTATGTGTTTTTTCTGTTTTGTTTTATTGTTTTCATGGCTATTACTAATGATACTTCTGAGGTGAATCATAGTTCTGTCAGTAGTTTGTCTACGTAGTTCTCTACTAAGAAAATCAATGTGGTTCTTGATTACCATAACTATTTGTTGTGGCTCAACAAGTTTTTTTAGCCATCAAGACTCATTGTCTCAAAAGTATATTGACAGTAATGTTACACCTCCTTCTCAATATATAACCTTAGAAAATCAAGTTAACATTAATCATGAATTTGAATCTTTTGAGGAACAAGATGGAGTTCTTGCCTCGTGGCTCTTATCTACTGTTAGTGAAATTGTTTTGCCACATCTTATTGATCTTAATACTGCTTCAGAAATTTTGAACACTTGCATAGAATTTATAGCGGCAAGGCTATTTCAAGGTTGATTTATTTTAGGAGGTTGCTTCCTCTCAAAAGAAGGATGAGCTTGAAATGAGGGAGTATTTGTTGAAAGTTAAGTCCATGTGCGATAATTTGGCAAGTTGTGGGGAGATTATATCTGAGCATGAGCATATTATAGTTATTCTTAATGGTTTACCTCTTGAGTATGACTCTGTGATTATTGTTCTGACTGCTGGATCAACTCCTACTGTTAGGGAAGTTAGTATTGTCCTTCTTGATGTTGATGCTAGACAATCTACTTTTAGCAGTCATGTCTTGTCAAGATGTTAGTTCATCCTCACAAGTTGTGTCTGCTAATAATACTGTTGTAAGCAATTAGAACAGTGATAGAGCTCTGATTATTCTCAGTATCAGAGAAGTAATAATCGTGGCAGAGGTAGAGACAACTCTTCTCGGCCTCAATGTCAGCTCTGTGGTATGATGGAGCATTTGGTTGAACGATGTTATTTTCGCTTTGACATGAGTTTCAAAAATGAGTCATCCAGAAATGCTTCTAATAATACTGATAGAAAGCAGTCCACTGTTCAAGCCAATTTTTTCACTGTTTTTATTCCTTTTAATACTGGTCACTCTACTGTTACTAATCCTTTTACTGCCATGTATTATCCTACCTTTGTCATGACAGTTCCACAAGGGTTTGCTCCAATGGTTTCTTCTGTTCATGGAACTCCCTATTATACAAGGCCTTCAACTCTTACTTCCGGACCAACTTATGTTCCTGTGTTGCCCCACTATACTGCAACAACACCCTCCCAGGTCAGTGCTCAAGTCCATGTTGCTACTGTAAAAGTGGTAGATGATAATTCATGGTACCTAGATGCTGGAGCAACACACCACCTTACTAATGACCATCCAATCTGCAAGTTGACACAGCTGCTCAGGAACTTGTTCTTTGTGCCAGGGATCACTAAAAATCTTCTCTCTGTGTCTAAGTTTACACAGGATAATCAAGTTTCTTTTGAATTCTTTCCCAACTTCTGTCAAGCAAGAGATTTAAGAACAAATCAGGTAGTGCTAAGTGAGGGTTGAGTCAGCTGGTTTATTCAAACTTTCTTCTAATTTAACTTGAACTCTTAGGAGTAATAAAATCAGTAAAAATGTTGCTGCTTCTTAAAAGTGTTGTTTCACTGCTACTCATTCTAGCATTAATTCTGCATATTTAAAGGTCTGGCATAACAGACTTGGACACCCTTCTCAAGGTGTCCTTATCGATGCTTTGAAAAGTTATAACATCTCTTATTAGCCCAATATAAAAGACTCTTCTATAAAGAGGTCTATACAACTGGGCCCAACTCAGTTACAACTGGGCTCAAACACCCTTACAAATGATGTATTCGAACCCGAGACTTTGAAAAAATGGTAATAGGAATCCCTCGTGACACTTTAGTTTGCCAGAAACAATATTTATCCATAACCTCCGATTTTCCAGCCATATCAAAAATGCCCTTCGGAAGGATATTTGGCCAGCTACTGTGATCAACTCCTACAGAACACAAAAATTGTACTTTTATGTAAAAGATTAGGCATGTCAATTTGCTTGTTACTGTGATTCCCTAAAGTTTGTCAAACTCCTACTAACAGATTAGCAATGACATGAGACATGCTGTGTAGTTACCACTGCAGTAGATCCTCTACATTAGCAATCTCATGAAAATTACTTGCAGACTATGGGTTCAATAACTGCACTCTGCAATATGGCAAATAATTTGTAGAGTATTACATAACGAAGTTGACTGTCATAGACTACTTTGCATAAAAATCAATTAAGCCACACCGTCAATATTTAAAAATATAAAATTATGATTTTACTAACAACCCAATCGATTCAACTTTTTCATTATGAACCCATCAAGATCTCAGTAGTTATGGGGACTAGGGTAGTGTTACTATCATTAGAGGTTTTGGATTCAAATAACTATGCTTGCATGTAGATGTGACAATCTTTTCAGGCTGGATCAAATAAGAAGTATGTCACAAACTATAACACGTCTTATAGGTAGAGTTCACGTTAAATTATCATCCCTAAATGATGATTGAATCTAAATGAAATTGAGAATAAATTATAAGATTTACAAAAAAAAAAAGAGATACGTTTCTTTTTAAAAAATGTATCAATAATTCTATATATACTTGATTTGACTCATATTCGATTCAACCTGAATTGATCCGAAAATTCAAAATTGACGCGAACAAAAAAAGATTGATCTGAATCAAAAATTAACCGGTCCAATTTAACTCGACCCAAAAATCAATCAATATGATATCGATATTTAAAAGGCACCATTGAGACACGCTTAGATGTTAAGGCATGGTGAGGTTGAAGCGCCTAATTAGGTATAGGCGAGGCGATTTCAATGGAAGGCAACAAGGCACGCCTAAGGCACACCTGTTCAATTTTTTATTATGTTTTGCATATTAACTTGGGTCAAAGTGAGGGCCACACAAAAATTACATTAATCAAATGAAATTTAAACTCTAAACTCTAATACATAAAGAACACTCTTTGGTGTTTGCATTGCATGAACGGTTATTTTTTCTTGACTATGCATTGAGAAAACATGTATATCTTTTATTTTCAAAAAGTGCATCTTACTTTAATAAGGCACCTGTCTTGCGCCTTGGCTATAATCCACTATGCTTTAGTGCACCCTAAGCCCTTTATAATAGTCCAATATTGACACAAAATGAAAATCAACTAATCTAATATTCATCCAGTCCGACTCAACTGATCATAAACCCGATTTGATTCAAACCCAAAATGATCCAAACCCAACTCAAATCAAGTCTAAACCTGAAGTGACCAGATTCAAAATAACCAAACCTAAATCCAATTTGAATGACCCGTTTGTCATCTCTATTTGTAGGGTGTATATGCTTTATCAATAACTAAAAAGGATTATGAACATAAATTATCTTATAATCATCCAAAATTAGGGCGCTTAATGA